GGGGGTTGGTTTATTTTCCTTCCCCCCCCCCCCCCCCCCCCCCCCACGATTCTTCTCTTCTCCGACGTCATTTCCGCTCTAGTACTCCTACAGAGAGGCTGTGTTCCCATCATTCTTCCTTCCACGTGCAAAATATGTTCTTCTTCTTCTTCTTTTATTTTTCAACAGAAGAACACTTCCTACCCGTTCGTGTAATCGTGCCACCATAGATCAACGAGTTATCTGCCCGACCAATCTGCTGGGTGTTTACAAGTGCATGGGGGACGCATAACCGCTACCTTCACACTTACATCTTCTTATGATCGATTGATCTTCTCGTCGTTTACACCTCAAATCATCCCATTAGTATCCCGGGGCTGTGAAACGCTGGATTGGCATCACTCCTCTCTGTCTTGCATTTGCTTACCTTGTCTGGGGATATTTTTTTCCTTCTCACACTCTCTCCTTCTCCAGCTCCCTCCCTTGTCACGTGTTGCTGCAAAGGCTGCCATTTCTCGTGCCAGGTGAAGTTCGCCTCCTTTTCTCGCAGGTACCTGGAGGATATATATAATATCACCAGTGACCCTCTCTTCCATTCCCTCGCACCTCACCTACATCCAACATACCATTTCAAAGATATTGAAATACTTTTAAAGCCTCTTGTTCAAACATCAAACATTACTCTCTCACCCACGGCTTACCCTTAGCCAATACTACCTATTTCAACAACTCATTTTCCACTCAATGTCTCTTCCTTACCGCCCAAGACCAGCTCCTTACCTGTCTCCCGCCCGTGGCGAGGCCAGTCGGGAAGCCTCAGAGAATACCTACATTACCTCAACACGTCCTCAGTCAGGCTATCTCTCCTCCCTGGCTCCCCCTATGGCCTACTCCAGTTCGACGGATAGCAACAAATCCATCTCCACACCATACAGCTCGCCATCCACATACTTCAACACTATGAATTCATGTCACTCTCCCACGAGCTCCTATGAGTATGATACCTCTGAGTACGAGACACGTAACTCGACGCAGGGGCAGTATGGAAGTCTCTCTACTTCGTCCAATCAGGATTATCCCTTCGACGGCCAGAACATGGTCGACCTCACCTCCAGCCCCAGATCAACCGCTGCAGACAGGTACGTAGCAATCTATATCGACCACGTTACTCAACAGACAACTAATTTTGTGCCACCAATCTAGATCTAGCCAAAGATTTATCTGCCTCTACGAGAACTGTGAGGCCTCGTTTAGCCGGGTAGCAGATCTAAGCCGACACCAAAAGTCCATCCACTTCCCCACTAAAATGGATTGCCCCAAGCCGCACTGCAACCGCAAGGGCTTCTACGGCTTTACTCGTGAAGACCATCTTACCGAGCATCTTCGCCAGTACCATGGAGAGAACTTAGCCAAGCGCAATTCTAGCAAGTCAAAGCGCGCAGAGGCCAAGTGCTAAGTACTAGGTGGTGTCAATGGGCACTCAAGCCCGCCTTGGACCCGTCAGATCTTCTCTTTTTTCTTCAGTTCTTTTCCATAATGCGAAGAAACTGTCTTTTCATAGTATCCTCCTGATATTTCGGCTTTCCTTGGCCTTTTTTTAGGAAGCGTTTACAGAAAGAAACCTCGGCTTCTCCTTTTTGAGCTGGTACTCATCAGCGGATGAACCGATTTGGTTTTTTATCCCCCTTCTTTACCCACTGCTGACATCAAAATGTTCGAGTGGGACTGCCCGTCTCTCTCGAACATTATACTCCATTTCCTTGTTTCGTGTCTTGTGTCTCTACAATCTACCCAGGTCAGAGGTGCTGTATGGACACAATCCACTTTTTCTTCCCACCACCTTATTGACGCACTGATCATGAGGGTGACCGTTCTTATTCCCCTTATTCTTTCCTATGTCCTCCTCTTCTTACGCTGTGTATGATGTTTCCTTTGCCTTCATTTTCCCCTCTTAGCGGTTGTGTTTTCAGAGACTGTCCTTTTTCGCTTTTAATTTTCCTTTTTAATCGCTTTACTTTTCACTTCTCTGTAAATTATTACGTTGTTATTTCTTTACTCCTTTGCTTCCCACATCTGTTCGAGAAATCGCTTTTTGACACTACCACGTACGAGCCTGCCATCACCTGCAGTCTCGAAACCGTCACTCCATCTCGTCCAACTCTAGATGGTGGGCTCTTCTCTCGAACATGGATTTTCTTTTTCCGTTTCCTTTCTTCTCTCTTCTTTTATTATCCCTTTTATCACTACTCCGATTTGCCCTCTCTCACTCTCGGCTAGCGTTCATTAGGACGGGGCTGTGTATAACAGGGGAGTTCATAATACATGGTTCGGTTGGCCGGTCAGATGGTTGGGTGGAATAGGATGGGCAGTGCAGATAACAAAAAAAGATACAACGAGGCAAAAAAAAAAACACGAAAACGACAGCCGTCATGAGGCAGCAGAGTTTATCTTTAGGGGAATTTAATGTTACGGCCCTTACCCTTTAGCTCTGCTTCTGTTCTACTTCTTCTTCTTCTTCCCCCTCCTCTTCTTCTTTCCTAGTTTGTTAGTAGTTGGAATGAGATTTATCAATTACTCTCGGTTATTTTAACGCTTTCTCTCCTTGGTGTATCTTGGAAACAAAACAAGGTTTACCGTTAAGCTTTAAGATTTTTGACTTTCGGGAGAAGAGGGTCCCTGACCCATATTTAGTAACCAGACATCTATAATACAGAAGAAGAAGAAGAAGAGAGGTTAGAGTACAGGAGGAGGGGAGTTATCGCTATCGTCCTTGAAGATCCAGGATCTCCAGAAAAGGCTCCGCAGCCTTTTCTCTGCGTTTGTGTATATCTGTAGCCGCAATCGTTGGGCCATCTCGTAGGCATGCTCAAAATCGTCTGGGTGCGTGCCGCCCTCTCTATCGACCCCAAGAGCTTCCTGTATGTTAGAGAGTATCTCTTCACACTCCCTCCACTCGGTGGCATCATGCAATGCCGCCTTTTCATCCTCGGAGGAGAACGAGATCGGACACGGATAAGGTATCATTTGATCCCAGATCATCGTAAGTCCCACGAGGCCGGCTTTCAGGTTTATGAGGTCAGCATCCCACGGATACCCAGCATGGGAAATGAGATACTGTATCATTCCGAGGCCTGGCTGGCGAAGGGCCTGTAGATGTAGGCCATTCTCCAATCCAGTGGAAGCATAATAGTATCGGTTTGCCTTGTCCAGACGGAGCTTTATGTCAGCTTTCAACCTGTCCACCTCGTTCATCTCATTATAATTATCAGGAAGAACTGGTTCCTTTAAAGATTGTACCTGGGAAAGGTCATGTTCACAAAAGGCTGGATACCCAGCCTGCATGAAGAGTGGAAGAACGGCGGTATCCTGCCAATCGATTATCCCTTCTATCTTGTTTGTTCCGGGAGTAAGAAGGATGTTGGTGAAACTCAGGTCTGGGTGGCGTAGTATTGGTGCTCCCATCTCAGGTTGGGACGGTACCAAGGATGGAGCTATCTGTAGGTACTGGGAGAGAAGCGAGGTGTGTTCCCTAGGGTCGATGTCTTCTTCGGTGGGTAGTAGAAAGGCCCTCCGGGGTCGAGGTTTCCCGTACGTGGATGTCCAGGCAAGCTCTCGACGAGCAGGAGCTGCAACACAGTCCTCAGGCTTGGTCCCTACCAGTAGTCAGATGCTGTATACTCTAGTTGAGAAGGACGACATACAAGGGCCACGGTCGAGCTTCATGTCTGCCCTCTCCCCGTGCCAGAATTGACGCTTGCAAATAGGTCCAATGCAAAAATCACCTTCCTCTGTCTGAATATCCACTCTTGACTCCATGGGTATGTCGTGCCTATTATAGAGGCTTCCGTACGCTGGGAATCTAAAATTGAATATCTTTTTCTCGATATCTACTATTTGCATCATCAGATCAGCCATCTCGGCGGTCGAGAGAGAAAGCCATCTAGAACCAAGGCCGTCACCCCGAAGCCGTTCCATTATAATGTACTCAGCTCCAACAAGATTATCTGATGTAGGCGAATAAGCAAGGATTCGAGGTACCGGTATCTGCAGGGTATTTCTAAGAAGCTGCATGGTGGCGGCTTCGCTGGCAGTCGTCAGGCGTCGAGGGCCAGCAATGGGTGTAGGGATGCGAGCGACTTCACTGCCATCATCCATGGTCAATAGGAATACCTTATTAAATCCTCCTTCCGCCATTTTGATGATCTGAGAACAGTGTGGTCTTTGGGCGGCTTCTGCTGCCACACGCTGCAGCTCTGCAACGTTGAATTTCACACAGTGCTCTTGAAGCCGGACGTCCTCGTTACATCTACACAGACACGGTGAGAACCAGTAGCATATAATGGAAAGAAGGGGGAGCTAACATCCATCGCCTCGAAGTGTTGCGGAAGAATGATTCCGGCTCTATAATCGAGGCGTCTCTGGTGCGTGTGGACAACGACAGCGCTGCTTGTTTAGAGACAGACGCTGGATGGCAAAATCGGCCAGCATGCAGTCTCCGTGTGAAGAAGGGCTGCATGGCTGGTAAATAGTAATACTTCTACTCAAGGACGTGAGTTGCGCCCCTAAGAGTAACGAGCGTAGTGCTGGCAGATACTGTGGACGGCCCGCCCATTGCATTACGCGATGATACACTTCAAGAGCACGATACCAAAGATGAAGCATACATAGATACCATCCAGAGGACGAAGACACTCGCTACCGAAATAGTATAGTCGCTTTTCCAATACAAGGCAGAAACTGTGGGATTATCTGCGACCAATCTTAGAGGCGAGGACACCGCTTCATCAACCCTGTAACTACTTGTCAGTTCTAGCTTTCCGCTCATCAACCATCCAGGATTTAGTCACTCTAAGCCTAATCGCCTATTTAATACCATTTCAACGTTCAAACTATCGAGCACTGAATATTATCCTCCATATTAAATACTTTGGTCATGACTTCACTCCAACCAGCTCGACAAGCTCATAAGAGAAATTCTAAATATTTTATATATCTTAAGTAGATGCTTCTAAAAACTCATCGCATTAACTATTGAACTATACGAACCCTCCTCTGAGTTTTGTGTACAGCTTCACGGTTTTATTCGAGCGCTGCCTACTCCACCCAGAGAAGAGGCAGAAAATAGTATAACTACTGAGGTATGTACTATGTGCCTACTGCTATGGATGCCGGACTAATGATGATCCAGTATCAGCTCCAGACCTCCATCCGTGGGATGCCCTGGACGAACACTGCTTGCTTCCCTTGCGTTCTCTTGCAAGCTCCCTGATGTCGCCGTCCAGGGCTGAGATAATAGACAGCCACCCGATCGGGGACCAGCTGGATAGGTTCCGCGACCTGTATAGCATCTGCCGGCCGCCGTCTGGGCCTGGGAGATCCGTCTCGGGTGATGCAAGCGACGTGCACGCCAAAGACATCAAGACCAAAGTGTTCGCCTTTCTCGTTGCCTTGACGACTCTTCCTGTCTGCCATGAGCTACCGTCTAGAAAGGGCGCTGGCGCCCTCTACGTAGACGTCCTGGGGCTTGCCGCCAGCTTTGAAGTTGAGTCTCTCTTCCCTCTGCTGAAGGCAGTCCGCGACAGGGAGCCCGATGAGACTATATGGAACAAGGTCTACGAGGCCGTTACGGAGTCGACGCCCCCCCCACGTCCGCCGCCACCGTCTTTCCAACAGACGCCATGGGTCCGCAACACAAGCAGCTTCGCCAACTCAAACGAATATCGAAAACACGTGGACGGGGTTCTAAAGGAGGAGCTGGGTGATATATACGTTGACATAACGGGGTTCTACGATACCTTCTTTGGAGATGTCCCAGAGTTGCAGGCCAGGGCGCAGGCGGTCCTCGAAAGATGCATGGAGGGGGAGGACCCGCTGTACCGCGAGGGGATAGGTTGGAGAGCATGGCCCGAGGACACGAAGGAGGCGCCTGTACTGGCCTGGCTGCTGGAGGTTATCGACAAGATCACACAATTCTTCGAGGGTTGTGTATCCGGCAAGCCAATCCGAAGAAGGCCGCTGGCTCAACCTCACAAGCCGATACAGGGCTCTACGGCGGAGCGGAAGCTGGATGTTGGCTTTATGGACGGGACTGATCCTCTCGAGGACGGCAAGTACGCCTGGTCTCAGATTCTTGTTCCAGGAGAGCTGAAGAACGACCCGGGCTACGACACCCAGTCCAGGCTTGACCTAGGGAGGTACGCGAGGGAGGTATTGGCCGCTCAGGACTCTCGCCATTTCGTGCCCGGATTTACTCTCTGCGGGCCGCACATGAGGCTGTGGCACTTTGACCGTCTTGGAGGGATTGCGTCGGAGCAGTTTAATATTAACGAGGAGGGCCTTCGATTTATATCAGTAATCCTTACCTACCTGCTAATGGATACGGAGCAGCTTGGGTTTGACCCAACAATAGTCACTACTGACGTCTCGCGCTATATTAAGATAGAGCGGGACGGTAAGGAGGAGCACCTGGTTATTGATAAGGTGATCCGGCGTGCGGCCTGCGTATCCGGGCGGGCGACAACATGCTGGAAGACGCATCACGATGGAGATAGGTCCCAAACAGCCCTTGTGGTTAAAGACTCATGGCAATATCCGGAGCGTGACGAGGAAGGGGAGTTACTACGCGAAGCTACAGAGAAAGGGGTAGTTAATGTTGCACGCTATTACCACCACGAAACGGTCCAGGTATATGGCAGAGATAACGACGTCCGTAACGGCGTCAGAAAGGGGCTGGACATCACAACGGCAAGCAACTACAAGCCAGCGGGCTCCAGGCCTCCGCCGCGCAGGAGCGGGTCTCGCAGGGGGAGGAGTAGCGGATCCCGGAAACGTTCGTCCACCTGTGTCGAGCCATCGCTGCCACCCAGCAAACGCACACATCCCGGCCCGCTATCTTCTACTTCCAACCGTGTCCATCGCCGTGTTGTCGTTCAAGACTACGGTGAGCCGATATATCGGGCAAGTTCACGGGTTGCCTTGCTCGCCGCGTTAGAAGGATGCATCGATGGGTACGGGTCCCTCTATCAGCAGGCTGGCATGCTTCAGAGCGACATATCCCCCAACAACCTCTTGATCAATGAGGATGCAAGGAACACGTCTTCCTGGACCTCATTCCTGATCGATCTAGACCTTGCCATCAAGGAACAGAGGGACGGCGCCTCGGGCGCGCGGGGGAAGACGGGCACGCGGGCGTTTATGGCGATCGGGGTCCTCCTGGGCGACGAGCAGCACTCCTTTATGCACGACCTCGAGTCTTTCTTCTGGGTTCTCTTTTGGATATGCATACATTACGAGGGACCGACGGAAAGCAAGGCTAACGATCTGTTCGAGAAGTGGAACTTTATGGACACGGAGGAGCTGGCGAAGATGAAACTGGGAACGGTAACCAAGGAGGCCATCTTTATGAAAACCGCCATGAGTAACTTTACGCCTTATTACCAGTCGCTGGTTCCCCATGTCAACAGGCTACGGAGGGAGGTATTCCCGGCGGACAAGCCGTGGGAGAAGGAAGATAGAGAGCTATACTCGAGGATGAAGAAGATCTTGCAGGATGCGCAGGCGGATCCAGAGGTCCTGTTTGAGGAAGTATAAGCCTATACTATATATCTCTAGTATATCTAGTATAGATGACGGCAGTTTCTTCAGATTGTGTTGTATAGATCAGCAAGGGGAGGATAATCTGCTGGATTCTTATAAAAGACCGCCCGACCCATATCCTTGAGAAGCTGTGCCGCCTCATCCATGGTAACAGCCACCCTCCACATACCGGCGAGCTTTCTTACATCGTCCCTGGTCCAACGCTCACACTGGGAAGCCTCGAAAGCCCATAGCCCGCCGGAAGACGGCCATGCAAGCCACCTCCTCCTTGCCGTAACGCTGTCCTGGGTGCCAGTGATATCGCAGTCGCAGTCGCAGCCGCACTCGTCACGGCTACCACAACCGCCCTCGTCAGGTGCCAGTGGCCGCCAGATCGCACCTATCAGGCGAAGTTTATGGGCAAACTCATCTTCGTCTGCCGGCCTTTGCCAAAGGATTATTTCTTCGAATCGGTTTAGACCGATATAATCCAGCTCGGGTGCATTAGCATCAAATTTTTTCCACGCACCTCCGCCAGCCTTCTCGGATGGCCGGGCCTCTAAGCTGGGGCCGCTCCGGGTAAAGGCAAGGCGGTAGTACGCAAGAAGGTGGTTTTCGTTGATGGTGCACTCGACTTCCCCGGTTGCGTCGTCCAAGGCCACCGGTGCCCTTTGCCACCGATGGAGTAAGGGTTGCAGCGCGTATCTGGATTCTGGGTTGTTAAGATACGCTGTCCTGCGTGCAAGAGTGTTAACTCGAGGCCCAAAGCAGAGACAAGAAGTACATACAAGAAATAGGCACCGATCAAACATAAACCCGCCGCCAGCCACTTGCGATATGCCGCTGTGAGTACCATATCCTGTATTGATTGTGCAAGGACCGAGATGCAAGGCGAGAAGAGAGGGACTGGCATTTGGAACTGCGCAGAGCTGAGCCGTAGATGTATATGTTTCCTGTTTCGTTACTGATCTCTCCTCTCTGGGGGATGTATATAGAGTACCGGCTGTCAAACTTGCTGCCTGTTCTATATAATGCCATCCCTGTTAAATGCACTCTTAGGTTAATCCCTTGCATATATCACCTTAGTCAACGACTTACTATTTTATTATCGTGACGCCATCCTCCAACCTCACCTAAGAGGAACATATAAGCATGGAGAAAACCAGACGAACCAGCGTGCCATGCCTAAACCAAGATCTAAAGGTATTAAAGGTATCCTGTCCATAGCTTTGGCATCCGTACTATGGTGGAGTATTCCCGCAACAGAGGCAAGGAACATGCCGGATAAGTTGTTGGAACCTATACGAAGATGGCTGGCTTCTATAACGAAGACCTTCTTTCACCTCACATCAGTACTATGATTAGCCCGGTGACTGATCACACAGGCTCTACATCCCTACTCGACTTTGGGGCATATTGGGAAGACGAGGACTTTCTCGCGCAGGGAGAGCCCGAGCCGAGTGTTCGCTCGCAGACTCTGGTCTACCACCACGAGCGCAAGAAGTGGTGGATTAAAGTGACACTAATTGGCTCGATTACTAGCATATCGAACGAGCGGAAGGTCTCGAAGCGCGAACGACGAAAAGAATTCCAAGACTTCGCCAAAGTAATAGACTACGGATCGCTCACCCTCCTTGATAATACGGTAACTGAGGTGATATTAAGAGAAGAACCGGAGCCGGCGACTGTTATCAGACTAGAGTGCGAAGAAACCCTACAAATAGGATTATAGGGGGTTGCGAGAAATTTGTGATATCAGATTCGAGAGGTCCTCTGAGAGTTATATACCTATCATGCGTGGAATTCCCTTTACTTGATCGGATCAACGTTACAGAATGACGGACAAGGTGGAACTCACAGATGGGTTCTTCCAGGTCTACAGAGCCGGGGTTCCGTATATCCTCAAGATAATATATAGCCCTTTCTACCAGCCCCGCGACACGGACGTCATGCGAAATGAGCTAGAGAACCTTGAATATTTTCAGGGGATATCAAATATTGTGCAAGCGGCCGGGATTGCCGTCGATATAAATCCATATACGACCTCGACAACGGGGGAACAGGTGGTGGTCGGTGCCCTACTGCAGTTCTATAGCGGCGGCTCACTACGGCAGGTACTAGATGATGGTCGTATAAGCGAACACCATTGGGAGCAATGGGCTCTACGGATCGGGACCATATTACGCCTTTTTCACGCGGCAGGCAGGACTCATATGGATATAAAATGCTCGAATATAATGCTTGATGGAGGAGGTGATGCAGTTCTCATCGATATCAGCGGCATTGGTGGAACAACCCACGAGTGGTGCGCCCCAGAGATCCGAGACGAGATATCACCCTTCGACCTTCCATTCGAAGCGCGGCGACTGAACGATATATGGGCATACGGGAAGCTCTTATCAGAAATTGCATCTCATGCTGGTAGCGGCCCCCATGCAATTGCTCTAAAACAAGTGGCGGGATGTCTAATGAGAGAGGACACGACGACACGCATAGGTATATCGGAAGCAATGTCGCGCCTGGAAGCCACCATACCAAGATGTACAATAAGACCCATACTCACATGATTTCGTGGTGCACATGAACCACGAAATCATGTGATGGGCATATGAGGTACGTCCATATGTGGTATAGACCGAGTTTGCTTTTTGCACCAATGCAAAGCCTACGCTATACCCGATTAGGAGTCGCCCATGAGCGGTTCGCAAGCTAATCGGGTATAGCGTAAACCTATGTATATATACACACATAGTAGTCTTCTCTCCTGCTACTGGTTGCTGTCATTGTAAGATGGACTGCTTCTTCCCTCTTTCTCTCTGCAAAACCCTGCACTGGTGCTTGTTGGACCAATCATGCCGTACGAAGCTTGAAAACATCGATCGTCATGTCCTACATTGTATATCGGAAGCCCTCGCACCCAGCTTGGGTCAACCAATGATGAGATAGTACCTTGAGCTCTGGGCTAACGATCTTGTCTCTTACTGGTTGCTGCTATTGTAAGATGGACCCTGCCTTGCATGCGCTTAACGTACTATGCCGCATGCCTGCGAGCCATGCAATGATAAAATGATAATAATAATGTCTTTTTCATGTCTTCAGTGTCTGCTCACCCCTGCACCATGCACGTTTGGCCAATCGCACATTAAAAACCTGCCCAGGACGCTCGTTTCGGTCGAGTGTCATCTCATACCCTTTTAGAATGGAAAATGAAGAAGAAAATAGAAGTAAGAGGCTTTTTATTCTCATTCACCCGGAGGTAAGTAGGAAGGTAGGTGGGAAAGAAGATGTATAAAGGCTGGCATGTCTCCCTCCATGTTGCTACGATGGTCAAGGCCATCCCCATTCCACTTCCATCCACTGTGACTATCTACCCACGAACATGTCTTCCTACAAAGATCTCATCCGCCTGAACGGTACTTATATTCCCTCTCCTCTCCCTCCCCCTCCCTCCCCCTCCCTCTCACGTTGCAGATGGCTGACCAGTGCTTGGGCGGCGGGGGAAAATTACGCCAGGCTCACTCTCCAGCTCCCTTCCCAAGACGAAGCAGGGAGACCAAGTCACTTCCACTAGCTCTACCCGTGCACAAGCCGGTAGCCTTCCAGACAACACCCACGACCGCAATGGCGACAACAACGGCAACACCGACGACCACAATAGCAGCAACAAAGGCAACAACAACAAGAAGCCAGACCAAGCTGTCCCCCGAGGCCGTGACATGGCCCAGGACCTCCAAGGCATAGGCTGTTGGGCAGACAAACGTTCCACTTGAACATAGCTTCTTCTTCTTCTTCTTCTTTTTAATGTCCACTGTTATATCATGTCAAATTCATATAGAGGATAGACAAAAGCAAAGAATCAAACATACACTCGTGACAGCTTAACTCTCCAACACCTCGCCCACGTCAACAAACCGAGTAAAGATCTCTCCCCCTGCCCTCCCCTTCTCGTCAAAGACCACCCCTTCGCCACGCAGCAGCTTCGTCTTCTCCACCGCATACGATCCCCCGTTGCCCCAGCTGCCCTTGTACCCGCCGATGGTGCGGTTGGACGCCAGCACGCGGTGGCAGGGCACTTCGGGTGCAAACGGGTTGGTCTTCATCGCGTTGCCCACCGCCCTCGCGGAGGAAGAGAGGTGGGCTGACAGCGTGGCATACGTCGTCCACTGGCCCCTCGGCACGGAGAGCAGCGTCCGGTACACCCGTCGTCTGTAGGGGGTCAGTGACGGGTGGGATGAGATGCGGTCCAGCTGCTTGCGAAGGAAGTCTGGGTCTTCGCATGCGGGGGCAGAGCTAACTATCTGGGTGGCGGAGGAGAGCGTAGTTTGCTTCTTCCTCTTGCTGACTGGAGTAGTCGTAGTAGTAGTAGCAGTAATGGATGACAGCTTTCTCTTTGGTCTCGTAGACACGGATACGGTTGCTGTCCCGGCCATCCTGTCTGTATAGTGTGTATTCTGTATATTCACGGGTATATCCAAGTGTGTTCACGGGCACATCAAGGCGACTCTCAACGAGGCTCTGGAGATGCTCAGCTTTCGTCTTTTTATCGTCGTCGCGTCGCGATTTGTAAGCTTGTCCGTGTTGTGACCAATCAGAAGCTTCACCAATCATCGCGTAGTCACGTGTTATTGTTTCATACTAAACTTCCTTTTAAGGTTAAACGTTGATGACTAATAAACTTGGCATCGTCAGGAACCAAAACGGGAAAGTCAAACTTTTCTTCTTTTTTGTATATAAAAAGATTAAGGAAGCAGAAGAAGACATCTGGATATCCTCTAGACCTGACCGGGGTCGTCAACAGCCTGCGTTGCAGTTTGATATAGATATCCAAGCGTTGCGTATATCTGTGTTCATACGGCAATACCAATAAATATGGATTGACATCATCGAGATTCACTTCTCCACAACGGACCAAATGCCGGAAAGTTGCCCAGTAGATGTACTGGGAGATCATTGAAGACGGCTTTCGGCCGATCCACCTTGGGCGAACAAATGGAAAACTGCCGTGATACATTTATATACCGTCCCCGGGTTCTTTGTCAACCGTTATATTCCAAAGTATCCATGGGTTCATGGCGACTGACGAATACTCCTCACGATGACACACAAGATTCACCGGTGGAACATCACTCACCGGCTCGAGAAGCGCTCCTTGCTCATCGCGATCAACTGCATGGCTGGACTGTCCATCTTCTTCTTCGGCTATGACCAGGGCATGATGGGAGGCGTGAACAACGCCAAACACTACATCGAGCTCATGGGCATCGGGCACACCGAGACCGTCAACGGATCCAAGAACAGCCCCGTCATCACCGACAGTCTGCTCCAGGGAGGCATCGTCTCGGTGTACTATCTCGGTACCTTGGTGGGAGCGCTGGCCGGTGGCATGGTGGGTGACAGGATAGGCCGGATCAGGTCTATTGCGCTAGGCGCTGTCTGGGGGGTTATCGGGGCAGCGTTGCAGTGCTCTGCGCAGAACCATACCTGGATGATTCTCGGTAGGACTTGAGGATTTAGACTCGACATTAGTTAAATATAAACCCCCCATGCTAATGTGAAGTAGCCCGCTTGATTAACGGGGTGGGCACCGGAATTCTGAATGCGATTGTTCCGGTGTGGGCGACGGAGACGGCAGAGCACAAGTCTCGTGGCCAGTTCATCGCCATTGAGTTCACGCTCAATATCTTTGGGGTCGTCGTTGCCTACTGGCTTGAATTGTCCGTTACATCCTTATTTCCTCTTCCACATTTCTACATAGCTAACTATTGTCAGCGGCCTTGCGTTCCTGGATGACGGCGTAACTGCGTTCCGCTGGCGTTTCCCCATTGCCTTCCAAATCATCCCCCTTCTTCTGTTATTTGCCATTGTCTGGCTCTTCCCCGAGTCCCCCAGGTGGCTGGTCAAGACCGGCCGTAACGAAGAGGCCCGCTACATCCTGGGTAGGCTTCGAGGGAGTGACACAGAAGAGAATGTCGCACGCGCGGAGGCCGAGTTTAACGATATCAAGCAGGTTGCTGCCCTTGAGGAAACATATAGCACTTCCTATCTGTCGATGTTTACTGGCCGTGGGTCGGGGAAGCTGCATATCGGGCGCCGTGTTCACCTGGTCGTCTGGCTTCAGATTATGCAGGAATGGGTTGGTATAGCTGGGGTTACCATCTGTACGCTGGCCCTTTGAAAGAGTCTCGTTCAATAATACCTAACAGCCATAGATGCCCCGACCATCTTCCGCATTGCAGGGTTTGACGCCATAAAGAGCCAGTGGATCAGCGGGCTAAACAACGTCTTC